ATGTATATATCTCAGATGTATATATATAAATATTAATATAATATAATGAAGATGAATGAGGAAAGACTCATTCACTCAGAAGAGAAGGCTTCATAGAAATGATAGCATTTATTGAGGAGAGACTTAAAGGATAAATAGGATCTGAAAGGCTGATGATTCCAAGCTGAAAAAATACCACATGAATAAAATGGATAAAGAATTAAAAATCTCAAGGAGTCTATTATTGTATCTAGAGCCCTTGGGAGGATGTAATAAGAGGAGAACCTGGAAATATCATTTGGGAACAGATCATTAAGAACCTTGAATACCAAACTCCCACTAAGAAATTTTTATTTATGCATCTATTACTTGGATTTTTCACTTTTTGATTTATGAGAGTTGTACTTTTATCTCATAGGTTTCCTTTTTCCTTTTTATTAATCCAAATACCAGTGAAAGGCATCAAAGATTCAGGTAATCTAAACAACAAAAACATCTATTTTATCCAGTTTACCCCAGGGTATGGATTGGTGTAGTGAATGGCTAAGTTAAGCAAAAATGTTACAACCCTTATATAAACTATTTATAAATGAAGACCCAATGTGGGAGTAAAGATAAAAATAAAAGGTATTGAAAGTGGTTATAATGTTAGGGGCAAAAGAATTGTTGAGGAATCAGGAATAAAAGTTTACTTAAGGAAATTAAGCAAGGATAATACTTGGCCTTACTTAGGCCACCATGCAAATCATCACTTTCTCTTCTAACACATAGACACATCAAGACCAAACATGGGACGGGTACCCCCAGGGGCTTTGCAAAATAAATCTGAGTAGTCAGTGGTGAGAAGATGTGTCCTTCTCTGAGAAAACAAGGACTCCTAAGCTCAAAATGCCACACTCATCCCTCTTTCTTTCAGTTCCACGTGTCCTCAGATCACCAGAACATCACAGCCCCTGATGCTGCACACCTCTGATGGGCCATCCCCAGCAGAGGTCAGAAGAGCCATGGGGAACCACACCACCATCACCAAGTTTGTCCTGCTGGGGCTCTCAGATGCCTGTGAGCTGCAGATGCTCATCTTCCTGGGGCTCCTCCTCACCTACCTCCCTGTTCTACTGGGGATTCTCCTCATTGTGCTCATCACCCTTGTGGACAGGTGCCTCCACACCCCCATGTACTACTTCCTCCGCAACTTTGCTGTCATGGAGATCTGGTTAACTTCAGTCATCTTCCCCAAGATGCTGACCAACATTCTGACGGAACACAAGACCATCTCCCTAGCAGGTTGCTTTTTGCAGTTTTTCCTCTATTTCTTCCTGGGCACCACAGAGTTCCTCCTACTGGCAGTGATGTCCTTTGACAGATACACGGCCATATGTAACCTCTTGCATTGTGCCACCATCATGAGCAAAAAGGTCTGTGTCCAGCTGGTTCTTTCTTCATGGATGGCAAGATTCCTTCTCATGATCACTCTAAGTTTCATTGTATTTCAGCAGCTGTTCTGTGGCCCCAATGTCATTAATCATTTCTTCTGTGACAGCTTTCCACTCCTGGAACTCATATGTGCAGACACAAGCCTGATAGAGCTTCTGGGTTTTATTATGGCCAACTTCAGCCTACTGGGCACTCTGTCTGTGACAGCCACCTGTTATGGCCACATCCTCCACACCATCTTGCTAATCCCCTCAGCCAATGAAAGGCAGAAAGCCTCCTCAACCTGCTCCTCCCACATCATTGTTGTGTCTTTCTTCTGTGGAAGCTGCATCTTCATGTATATCTGGTAGGGCAAGGGTGACCAGGGGGAAGACAGAAACAAGGTGGTGGCCTTGCTCAACACAGTGGTGACCCCAATTCTCAACCCCTTCATCTACACCCTGAGGAATAAACACGTGAAGCAGGTGTTCAGGCAGCATGTGAACAAGCTCTTCTTGTAAAACCGTGGGACCAAGAGGCTGAAGCTAGTATTCCCAGACAAGCTAAGGGAATATCAGGCCCCTGCAGTGAATCAAGCCTTTCCCATTCAGAGAAAGCTCTGATGACATGTTTCTGGGGTGCCAGTCACTATGCAACGCAGTACAAACTCAGAAGCAGACTGGACCCTCAAGACATTTTTATTAATTATCAGATTTGAATGTTTCTGTTCATTCTATCTGTGTCTGCCTGGCTTCCCAACAGAATACAACAAGCTCTTTGAGGGCAGGGACTAGCTCTGTAATTCACCATTAGCCTCAAGCACCAATCCATTGTCATAGACCATATAAATACTCAGTAAGTACTTGCAGACTGATTGATTGCTTTGTGTCTATTTCTCCAGAGGAGAGGTGAGTAGTCCTCTGTTAGCATCGTCTTCGTTTCACACACTCCTGTCACAGAAATGTGTCAGCAAAAACTCAAAAAAAGACTAAGGCTAATTGCTTATTATTTTGCATATAACATACTTATACCTTTTTAGTATTAATATTCATAGAAATTCCTCATTCCTATTAAAAAGGCTCTTCCATCTACTACTTGGTTACTTCTCTGAGCCCCAGTTTTCTTTTTTTTGTGTGTGAGGAAGATCAGCCCGGGGCTAACATCCATGCCAATCCTCCTCTTTTTGCTGAGGAAGACTGGCCCTGAGCTAACATCTGTGCCCATCTTCCTCCACTTTATGTGGGATGCCGCCACAGCATGGTCTGACAAGTGGTGCATCAGCGCGCGCCAGAGATCCGAACCCTGGCCGGCAGCAGCAGAGGGTGTGCACTTACCCACTACACTATGGGGCCGCCCCGAGCCCCAGTTTTCTCATCTGTAAATTGGGGATGAAAATGCCTATTCCAAAAGATTATGATGAAAGTCAACTGGGATATTCTATGCAGAGTGCCTTAAAAAGTGACTGGCACATAGTAAGTCCTCAATAAAAGTTAGTTCCTTTCCTACATTTCTCATCCTACCTTCCCTCTCTTCCTTTTGAATTTCACACCAGTTATCAACAAAAGCATTTTTATTCAAAATGCTGTAAATTTTTACATTCAAAATGTTATATTTAGGGCCGGCCCTGTGGCTTGGTGGTTAAGTGCGCGCGCTGAGATGCTGGTGGCCTGGGTTCGGATCCCGGGTGCGCATCGAGGCACCACTTCTCCGTTCATCCTGAGGCCGAGTCCCGCATACAGCAACTAGAGGGATGTGCAGCTGCGACATGCAACTATCCACTGGGGCTTTGGGGGGAAAAAATAAAATAAATAAAATCTTTAAAAAAAAAAAAAAAAAATGTTATATTTAGAAGGGAGGCAGAGTCAAGATGGCGGCGTAGGCAGACTCTGAACTCACCTCCTCCCGTGAACACAGCTAATTTACAACTACTCGTGGAAAAATTACCCCTGAGACAGAACTGAAAACTGGATAAGAGGAACTCCTGCAACAACGGACAATCCTAACTGGGGTAGAAGAGGCAGAGACCCCCTTC